AGCGTCAGAATGATGGTCAGTTCTGTTGCTCCACAACCAGGAATCGAGCTCGAGAAAAAATGGTATCACTGGATTGCTTGTCGTCAAAATAGCCTAATTACATGTTTCTTTTAGTTTAATTCGTGCATTTTTGATGCAATTAGTCGCGAAAAACCGATGGCTACATATTTATGGCCAGCACTGTATAGAGGTATCTAACGTTTAGCGAGCATATTTTTGTTTTAGCTAAATACCTCTATATAATTATAGTTTGGTCACATTCGAGCGCGTTATTGATTGCAGCAAGACAAGAAAAAGAGACGGTCACAGCTACGCCGACACGAATGGCGTTTCTGCAAGACGAGGACGCGGCGCGCGCCTTCGAGGCGGCACTCTCGTTCGTTGATGAGTATGCTTTTCAGGACACAGAGCATGCGTCGTCTTGCGCGTCGTCTCCCGCTCGGGCCGCCCAACACAGTTTCGCATCGAGTGCGATGGTGAGAGCAGAGCCCTCCGAAATCATGGGCCCACTGCCACCCGAAATGGACGAAGAGATGCAGCGCAGAGCGCGCGCCAACGCTAAGAAGCGACTGCTTCGCAAGGCCGGGCTGTACGATGACCCGAATCGAGCCAGGAAGGAGCGCAAGCTCGAGATGACGTATCTGCGTCGCAAGTTTGAGCAGCTACAGCTGGAACTCAGGACGCTGCAGGCTGAGAAGGGAAAGAAGCAAAGAAAACAGGTTAATACAGAGGGAAACAGAGCATTGGTAACTCGACGTGCAAATCCAGAGGTGTCGAGTGCGTGGAAGGAGGTGGCTAGTCGACAGAGAGAGCAGCGGGACAAGTCCGAGAAGGAGAATGTGCGACTGAGACTCATAATGGGACGTCAGCAGAAATTGGCCGAAGCTTTGGAGACACTCGTGCAAGCGAGGATTAAGCAGCAGGTGAGGGTTAATCGCTGCTTTTATATTTTGGAGAGAGAGGTAGAATGCTGATGGTTCTTGGATCGTTGTTTCGTGCACAGATGGCGGAGTTTTCGGCCCTGTCGAATCCGACACTGGGTCGGTGTTTCACCGGTCGGATGTTGGACTTCCGAGCCGATATTAATGACTTTAAGGGGCTGTTAGTAGAGCTCGAGAATGCTCGTCGTGAGGTGGATACGGTGTTCGCTGCCAACAGGTTGAACACAACGGAATCCAGTCATCACGGCGTGCAGCTACGATCGAGAAAGGGTGTGAATGGGATGCATCTCGAGGTGTACGCGAACAAAGCACTACCTTTTAACGTACGAGACACTGCTGAGGCGACATGGGATCATTTTAAGGGCATGAAGAAGCACGGAGGCAACGGAAATCTCTACGACAAGGCAGCAAAGGTGAGATGATACAGAATGTAGGAATAAGCCAGGATTGATTAAAGCTAACACGTTATCTGCTTTGTGTCTCTCAGAGTCTTGACACTCCGTACACGATTATTGAAGACTATGCCAAGGAGTTGTTTGCGAACACGGCTCGTGCCGACGTGCGAGTTAAGCAGATCATACGGCGCTACGTGGGAGCTGACCGTGAGCTCGTAATTCTAGTCGCAAACGTCTTGCCAGTTTCGATCGCACACAAACCACTTGCTGGACTCACCTTTGACTATCGATGCTACGCACTCATCAAGCGTGCTGCCGCTGCTACCGAGGATCATGATTTGTCGCTCTTGCAGCTGTGCACTCTTGCGTCACTTCAAAACGATGAGGGCCATATATACGACCCCACGTACATGCGTGCGCTCAGCAACTTCGTACTGGGCAACACAGCAGGCAATATCAAAGCTGATCAGGAACTCATCGAAAACACTCTGGTCGAACAAACACTCGATCAACGCAACTGCCTTACTGTGGCTAGATGAATAAAACACTACGTAAAAAAA